ATACATACACACACACACACACATATATATACATATACATACACATACATGTATTTAATAGTCACTTAAGAAAAATAATGTTTAGACTATTACCCTTGCCTCTTTTGGTTCATAATAGCAATCTAATTCCTGCCAATATATCTTCATTTTGCTGTTACTAGAATAGAATCCTAAAATAAATAATTATGTATGAAATTCAGTATTCATATTCAACTCACCTAACAAGTTAATCAATTTATGTATATGCATTACACATATAGTAACCTTAATAGACTATTTCAGGAAAATATTTAATGAATATGTTTAAAACAATAACTTTACATATATAAGTAATTAAGACTATAGGGAGATGTTTTTCAATTTACATTATTTTGTTTCCCTAAGAGACATTAGAAATGACAGCTTCCTAAATCACATTAGCAAGCAAATGCCCAAGATTGAGCACAAAATATAAACTTCAACAACTCTAAAAATTAATTATAAAGAACTAGCTTTTAAAATATAAATATCATTCACTCAAACAGAGTTAATTAGAAAAAGGTTTTCTAATTCTAACCTAGTATTATACTAAGCTACTCAAATATATCTGATTAACATATATTATATCCTTGGTTATCATTACATTGGCACTGTCCTTTCTGATTCTCAGTCCCAGGTGCTTTAATCTACCTTGTTGTTGATGTTATGTACCTTCGAGTCAGTCCTGCCTCACAGCGACCCCTCCTTGGGTTTCCCAGGCAGTATCACTACGGAAAGTAGATTGCCGAACCTCCCTTCTGAGAAGGGGCTGGTGGGTTTGAACCGCCAGCCTTCTGGTTAGCAGTCAAGTGCCTTAGGCACTACGCCACCAGAGCTCCTTTGTGCTGCTGTTGTTGTCATTTGCCGTGGAGTCGGCCCTGACTCATAGCGACCCCTCCTTGGGTTTCTGAGGCAGTATCAATCGCTACGGAAGTAGATTGCCCCATCCCTTAATCTACCTTCAAGCTGAAAATCAGTGTCCATTGTGTTTTACCGGGAGCTCTGGTAGCATAGTGGCTAAAAGCACTTGACTGCTAACCAGAAGGCTGGCGGTTCAAACCCACCAGCCACTCCTCGGAAGGAAGGTTGGGCAATCCTACTTCCGTAGTGATACTGCCTCGGAAACCCAAGGAGGGGTCGCTATGAGTCGGGGCCGACTCGACGGCAAACAACAACAACAACAACAACATTGTGTTTTACCTAGGTGAGGTGTAGGAGCTCTGGAGGCATAGTGCCTAAAGCACTTGACTGCTAACCAGAAGGCTGGCGGTTCAAATCCACCACCCATTCCTCGGAAGGAAGGTTGGGCAATCTACTTCCATAGTGGTACCGCCTCGGAAACCCAAGGAAGGGTCACTATGAGTCGGAGCCAACTCGATGAAAGTGAGTCAATGAGTGAGTGAGTGGGTGAGTGAGGTGAAGTATGGCTTATAATTCTAAATGTTTTATTTTTTTCAGATGGAAACAGAAAGAAGCCTGCAATCGATGCTAAGAGAACTCAGGTATCACTTCTGGTACCATATTTGCATCTGCTTTCCACCTCACCCCACCCCCAACCATCAATCTTCCATTCTAAAGAAGTATTTGAAGAATATTCTGATTCCCTGGTGAAATCCCTATGAGGGTGGGGGGAAGGGAGCTAAGTTACCATGGAATCAGCCAATTAATTTTGACACCTGCTTACCAGGACTGTTCAATCATTTTTGATGTCTGTTGTTACATTGCAACTCTTCGGTGTACTAGCAGATTCTCAAGATAATTAATAAAGTGAGAATTCCCAGTGAAACCCTTTCCCACTGTGTAATTACTTCAAATGCTGGATAAAACAAGCCACCATCCTCAAGATAGCCCAGCATGTACTTCACTAGGGAGAATTTTTTCTTCTAAATATGGTCCTTCCCTTTAACATTAAATACTGTACCACCTTTTCTTTCCCTCTAAGAGTAGACACAACAGATAGTTGTATCAGTTATATTTACACTAATTAATAGCTTGTATTTCACAGAGAAGTGAAAACACATGTACCAATAGGGGATAATGAATCATATGAAAGAGAAGCTTCCAAGGAAGTGATGAATGCCCAACGATTGTTCAGAGTGTACTGTTATTTAACGATAGCTACATTACAAAGCTATTCCTCTTTCACTCACTAACGTAGGACATCTATAAACACCATCTCTAAGGTTATTTAACCTCGTTTTAACTTTCTGTGATCTTTCTTAGGAACTGGCACAACATCTGCTAGTGAGGTCACCAGCTGCTGATCCAGCTGATTAGCAAATTCCACAGCTAGGAAATGTAGCTAGGAGCTTCTCGGGATCACAGCAAATTTTTGTCTTTTTCAGACAAATGAAGTCAGTCCATCCCACAAAGCCCAACATTCCTAAATTACAAATTAATTAGGCAATCTTTCTATTCTTGTATAAAAAGCTGTAAAACAATGGATGTGGCTTTTTTTTTTTTTTCCCACAGTTAGCTACCAGTTTACAAATTCAAAATTCCCTCTTGTCAAGCAAAAAGCTGAGTGCCACCGTCATCTCTCTCTCACTGCCGTGGAGTCGGATCCGACTCATAGCGACCCCTCCTTGGGTTTCCGAGGCAGTATCACTAAGGAAGTAGATTGCCCAACCGAGGAGTGGCTGGTGGGTTTGAACCACCAGCCTTCTGGTTAGCAGTCAAATGCCTTAGGCACTAAGCCACCAGACCTCCCACTGTCATAGCAGTTTAAAAACACTTAATTCCACTCTGTCACATGGGGACTCTATGAGTCAAACTGACTCTATGACACCCAAGAAACTAAAACCAAGCCCGTCAAGTTGATTCCAACACAGCAGAACTGTCCCATAGCATTTCCAGGGCTCTCATCTTTACAGAAGCAGCCTGCCATTCTTTCTCCCATGAAGCGGTTAGTGGGTTTCAACCACAGAGCTTTTGGTTAACACTCAAATGCTTAAGCACTGCACCACTACAGCTCCATGACCTAACAACTAAAAAAAGGCTACTCACAAGCACAATTTAATAGCTTATCTTTCCTCTTCTTGAAACAGTTACTTCTTAAACCTTTCATTAGCACCTCTCCGAAATTTAAAAAAAAAAAAAAAACTAACTATGGTACTATGTTGTTGTTGTTATGTGCCGTCGAGTCAAACCCGACTCACAGCGACCCCTCCTTGGGTTACTGAGGCAGTATCACTACAGAAGTAGGGTTGTCCAACCTTCCTTCTGAGGAGTGGCTGGCGGGTTTGAACCAGCAGCTGTCTGGTTAGCAGGCAAGTGCCTTAGCCACTATGCTACCAGAGCTCCCAACTATACTATTTGTAAAAGCAAGAACCAACGATATATAATCAACCTACTGCAAAGAGTGAATTTCATAAAACTTCATTTTGAGATTTCTCTTCCAAACCCCTGCTGTAAATTAATTAGCAGGATCTTGCCTGAAATTAAAAGTTTCAGTTTTTAAAATATACATTTTACATTGAGTTTTAAGGGGCATATTTTTAACCAGCAACAACAAAAATAGTAGTAAGTGGGAAACATGCTGTGTTTAAAAAGCAAGCAAACTGTCTTACAACACATTAATAAAGTGAACCATGAAACAGTCAGTTCCTACCTTTGCTTAGAGCCCCAGATATACTTCACATAGATTTTGTGATCATCCTGACACAAAGCCCACTGCCGTCAAGTTGATTCCAACTCACAGTGACCCTATACGATTGAGCAGAACTTCCCCATAGTTTCCAAGGTCGTAAATCTTTATGGAAACTGACTGCCTCATCTTTCTCCCATGGAGTGGCTGGTGGGTTCGAACCACCCACCTTCTGGGTAGCAACCAAGCGCTTTAACCACTGTGCAACCAGGGCTCCTTATCCTGACAATAAATATTGGTAATCAATATAGTGTAATTTCAGAGTCACAAATCAGCTGGGAAACCACTTATTAAATTTTGCTAAGTGGACTTTAACAACAGAACTGCCATCTGCAAGTTGTCAGATGGATTCCCTAATGGCTTCAACTTTCTTACTGCTCCCTCACTTCCATCCTTGTCTTCAGATCAGGAAGGAATGCAATAAACACCATCCAATAGAGTGAAAGCATCCTTATAATTGTAAAGCAAACTCCTTACCCTCTTATGCTCAGAAAAGCATACGTGATGCTCTCTCGACAGCTGATAGTGAAACAACCAGTGAGAAAAATCCTTATCTTCCCCACATAAAGTCCAGGCATCCTTTTATCTCACCCAAAGTCATCCCCCTTGTCTTTCTCAAGGCAGGACTGTCCCAGCAAATTCAACATAGCATGTTGGTTAAAAAATACAAAATCTGGACTTAAACTGGATGAAATGGAATCACGACTCTGTAACCTTGGGCCAGTGACTTAAATTCATGGCCTCGATTTCCAGCTGTAAACCCGGCACAGCAATTATAGCAACTCAGAGTTATGAGTATGAAATGAGATAATACGCTAAAGCGATCAGATTACAACAGGGTTTGGCACCCAGTGAGGCCCATCATAAACTCCACTTATGGTTACTATCATTACGAAATACATAATGGCAGTGGTTACCTCTAGAGAGAATAGGATGGGGAAAGAGGGAGGTACCGCTGGACCCAAACTTTTAACCTTTCCATTTCTGTATTCTTTGAATTTTTCACTATGTGCGTGTGTATTCATGAGTTACTTGCATAATTTTTGACTTAAAAATACTCTCCTAGCAAAATGTTGTTTGGCACCATAACTATGTGTGGAAATGTCCCCCATGAGCACAGGGCATCAGAAGTGGTGGCGGGCACCTGCAACACTCCGGAAAGTCTTGGCGTCCACGCGATCAGTGCCCCGCGCGGACCTGGGGGTTCCCCAGGGCCCGGGGCTGGAGCAATGTGGCGCGCGGACCCACTGGGGTCCGGGGAACCCGAGGCCGCAGCAGCGAGGCTGCGGCGGGCGCGGGGCAGGGCTGAGGCGCGGGGGCTGGCGAAGGCACTTACTTGAACCTGCCCTGGCAGTGCTGGCACTGGTCCCCCACCCAGCCGGGGTCGCAGAGGCAGGTGGAGTTGACACAGCGGCCAGAGAAGCAGGAGCCGGTCTTCTCGCACGGCTTGGACTGGGACACCTGCGCGTAGAGTGCCAGGTACAGGAAGCCATAGCACAGCAGCCAGCTGTGCCCGTCCAGCAGCCAGGAGGAGGCGCCCCGGCCGCCGCCGACCGGCCGAGTCCTCCACGGCCCCGGGGCCGCCGGCTGCGGGGGGCCAGAGCGGGCCCGGCCCCCCGGCTCCATCTTCCCCCGCGCCGCTGCCCGGAGGGGCTGCGCGCGCGGGCGCCGGCAAGGATGCTCCGGGGGATACCAGCCGCAGAAGCCTCGCGGCCGCCGCTCCTCCTCCGCCTCCTCCCCGAGCCTGCCCCAGTCCTGCTCCCCGGTCAGGAGGGGCAGACGGACAGATCCCAGCCGCTGTCGCCTGAGCTCGGCTGCCTCCAGTCGCATTCGGGCATCGCCTCTCCGTCTCCTGACCTTGTCCTCAACGAGCCGATCCACGCCTCGGCGCCCAGGCCGGGCCGGAGATTGAAGCGGCAGCGCTGGCTGCGCGAGGCGCTCCGAAAGACCCTGAGGGGCGCAGGGGCCCTGGGGGGTGGGGTCTGGTAGGGGGAGGGGCCCGCGCGGCCCCGCCCGCCCGCGGCTCGCGCCAACAGCCTGGACTCCGAGCGCCGCGCGTCCGGGAGGCGGGGCCCGAGCGCGAGCGCCGAGGTGGACGCGCCCAACGCGGGGACGGGGAAGTCGGGAGGCGGGGATCAGCCCCGCGCAGACCAGAGGGCAGCCTGTGGGCTCTCAGCTGCCATCTTCTCTCCGGTCCGGTCAGCCAGCTGCCCGGGCGGCGACTGGAGCCTGCTGCGCACCGGGCCGCCTTCCCACCCTCGCGTGAACCCACGCTCCACCCCCGGCCAGCGCCGTGGTCTTGCCCCGCCCCTGACAGGGACCGGGGGCTTCCCGCGCGCACCCGCCCGCGGGCTCCGGAGCTGAGCGGAGGCTGGTGCCCAGGTGTGGCCCGCGAGTCTGCGGTGCCCTCCCCCTCGGCGATCACGGGGATCCCCCGCACCCCGCGCCCCTGAGCCCCTGAAATGAAAGGTCTGATGGGCTTTGCAGCTTCAGCAAAAAAGAGCAACCCTTCGCGTCCGTCGTCTTCAGCAGCAAAAGTGCACCGCTTTTCCCTAGCGCTTCCCCTTCTTCTGCCCCATCCTCCTGCGGATTTCTTCTTTTTTTGTTAAATGAGAAAAACTCCCAACAACACACAAAGAGCTGAGCATGTGCAGGAGGCAAAAGTCTTAAAGGCACCGCAGTCACACCACGTTGTGGGGTCCGCAAGGACTGGGAAGGGCGGAGGCGAGGGGCGGGAAGCAGTGGTCGCGGAGGGACCTCTCCCAGGGGGAGCTGTTCCTTCCACGGAAATAGCCGCCCCCTCCCAACAAAGAGCTACGCGGTTCTGAGCCGCGAACGCGCCACCCCTGGCGACGCTGCTCGGACTCCCCACGTATCTTCCTTTTCTGCCTGTCAGTGTTCCCTCCTCCGTCTGGGACAATGACTGTGCCTTGAAAAAATACTGCAACATCGGGGCTTTTTTACAGAAGAGCGGAAACGACGCCCGGGGAAGAGCCTTTGCCTTCCTTGGCGGCAATGTTTCTCCCTTTGGATGACTTTCCAAGATTTGATGGCATATGCTGAAATTTTTGCTTTGGACTTTTGTGCCTTCTCTCAGTAGGCTGCTTGAACCCTTGAAAAGGAGGACGAACACAGATTGCAGCCATGTATGCTCGAGTTACAGCAGTGTTGATGGAGGAATCACCAAAGAAGGGCCGGCAGTATGAAAAAGACTTTGAAATCATCAAAGGCATTTCTGACAACAAAAGAAGGAAAAAGTTCTCCTTGTGATCACGCAGTCATAATACTATTGTTAAGAGTTACCTCGTGTTTATTTTGGGTATAATGCACCCAAAGCCGCCTCTTTTAATCCTTTATTGCCCCTACTTTGCGGATGAAATCCTCCATTAACCCCATTTTCCAGATGAGGAAAGAGAGAGTCAGAGAGGCCAAAGGATTTGTCAATGGCAGGTTAAAAGCAGTGAACAGAACGTTAAACACAAGTCCTCTGACGTATGTGCTTTATTCCCCCCACTCTTTACCAGCCTGCTTCTAACCCCAGACGCTTTGTTCTGCTTTGGTAAATCAAATAGCAGAATAAACTGTCAGTGTTGGCTTGTTTTTGCAAATACCTCAGCAGTCACTTAAGGAGGAAAACCAAAGGTCCAGAAAGAAGTAGCTCCTTTGCAAGTAATAAACAAAAAGCACGAATCTCGTTCGTGTTCAAGCAAATCGTAATTCTCACATAGTATCAGTCCCAGTAATGTCATCACCAAACCTAAAGATTACAACAGCCCGTTTTTTAACATATTTTCCTCATCAGGATGGCCCTTAGAGATTCTTGGGATGGGGAAAGAGAAGTAAGGGAGCATTTTGCAAAAATCAATTAGAAACAGGAGCTTCCTCTTGGTCACTTTTTTATTTCCATGACTATGAAATCTAGAGGGAGAGGTCTTTCTAGTATCAGCCATATATGAACAATAGATGCTGCTTTTCCCATTCCTCTTATGCCAGCTAAAGTCAGCCACATCTTCCTTACATTTAATGTGGAGTTGCTTTCAGACCTGTGGAAAGTGGCCAAGTTCTTAAAACCCTCAGCGAGTGTGAAGTTAAATCAAAGAATACACTGGAACCCATTTAACAGGAGAGATCACTGCTCAGCCACACACTGACTGTAGCCTATATTGGAGCAAAGGGCTTGCCCATTAAAAATATATAGCTTTTAATCATTTAACAGCTCTAGTCAGCTCAGTACTGCACCTTGCGCTGAAGGACATGCAGCTCCAGAGACTTCCTTCTCATTGTTGCCTTTAGAATCAAGCTGAATGTATGAAATTATTCTCATAATGATCTCACAGAGTTTCAACTTACCCTATACCTTACTTTAGTATTTTTCCAGCGAACTTTGAATCAACATTTACTGAGTCACTATTATGAATTTTAGCAAGAGAAAACAAAGATGAATAAAACACAATGTCTATCCTTGCATAAGAGTCTCTTGTATTAGGCTCACCAGACTGGGAACTCCTTTATACAGTTGAGGCCCATATATTGTACCAATGTTGACACAGAAAACAAATTATTTACAGCATTCATACAAAGAGTCATTGACGAAGCTTACCCAAACTCTTGACTGATGATTCAGCATCTTCTATGATGAAGAAATTTTAAAACGCCGACATGATGTTATGTCTTTTTTCCAAAGAAGTACTGTCAGCAGCATACCAGTGCTCTACGACACCATAATAATTCATGGTATTGGTAATAGCAATCGGAAATGTAGCAGGAAAGTGAAAAGTTACTCCAAAGAGGAAGTGGGAAAAAGGTCAGTTACTGAAATAGGATGAAACTGTTAAGATAAGAATTACTTATTAAAATTTCTCTGAGGGGAAATATGGGAAAAAATATATTTGTTTTCTCCACAGTTAGCCGTGTATTAGGACTTTCAGATCCTTGGGGAAGTGGCTAAGGCATTTGACTACTAACCAGAAGGCTGGTGATTCAATCCCACCAGCCACTCCTCAGAAGGAAGGTTGGGCGATCTACTTCCGTAATGATACTGCCTCGGAAACGCAAGGAGGGGTCGCTATGAATTGGATCCAACTCAACGGCAGTGAGTTTGGTTGGGTTTTGATTATATTTAATTTGAGCTCACATCACTTCACAATTGTACTATGATATGATGAGCCTCCAACTGGCCTCATCGGCTCCTTACCAGGGCCCTGTACAGGGAGAAGCTGAGAAACTCTAAGACTTCACATAGTCAAAATATTTGAAGGAGATTCAGAAGATTAAAAGAGAGAGAGAGAGAGAGAACTGATCAATTCGCTGATCTTTTGGTTGCAACTTAAAAAGTAAAAGATCCTATTTGGACTGATGCATCAAAGCAGCTGCTTGATTTAAGAATGATCTCTGCTCTGGTTATTGTTCACTATTTGGCTCAACCAAGGCTTCCGAAAGCAGCCAAGATAATGAGAGTTGTAGAATCCTGGCCCCAAGAACCAGAAAGGCATTCATACAAAGAGACCCTGGTGAATTGTGACAGTACTTTTAATACATCGAGAGAGCATGAATGGCCTCCAAGACCAGAAAATAAAGAAAAATCAAGTTTAGGTCCTCATTAAAAAAATTATTGATGATGTTAAAAATGTCTATATGGCTAAGACCTGAAACATTACACACACACATTCCAAAGAAATCTAACACTTTGCTTTCTCTTGGATTTGTTCTCTTCTTCCACCAGTTTCTCTTGCTGTCACACATGCAAACTACACATACACTCTGATCTTTCTGCCAATTTTTCTACTTAACACATTTCAAGCATATTGTTATAAGTAAATCCAATGAAATAAATCCAAAGATTCTAAATTCATCATGCTGGGCTACTACATTGCTTTTTTATACTAGTAAATAAAATGACCATCCCTAAACTCTCAATCCTAAATACTCAGATGTGTTACAAAAACATTGATTACTGGTAATCAATTGCAGAAATTTGTCTTTTGAGAAATTTAATTTGGTAAAAATATGGGCTAAGAGTTCCTAGTAAACATGGTGTATTTGCATTATCTCTGTTCCTCCCCAAACTCTACCAACATTACAGAAAACATCTGTAATTTTTTTGTTTGCTTGAAGGTATAAAGTCACAATGACAAAGAAAAAGAGAGAAACCAACAAGTAGAAGAGAAGAGTCAATGCGTTTTTGGAAGGAGAAGTGGTAACTAAAGCACACAAACCTGCAGGGATGAATAATGACTAGAAAAGAGCCTGTTTCTTTTGAAGAACACAGGATAACTTCAGAATCAGGCAAAGAGCACGGATGGCAGAGATGGGGCTCTAAGATGGAAACAAGAGGAATACTTGAGGGTGATTTAAGGACCCACAGTCCCTTTCCCCTCCTTCAAGCAGCCAGAACACTACCCCAGGCCTAACCCAGAAAAGAGGTTTAATTTCTTGAGAAATTGAGTCTGGAGTCTCAAGACTTGAGTTATTCAGCATAATGGAAAAGGAGTGAAGTCCCAGTTAAAAATGGAGAGATTCAGTAACAATGTTCATGTTGAGTGGTAACAATTTACAATTCCCTTTTTCCTGTCCATTCTGAGAACTCTCATAGCCAACTGAACAACCCTTAGGGAAGACATAGAATG